GTATACCCACCATTATATTACCATGATTGTAATAATGTTCCTAATTTTACTGAGCCAAGGTATATTTTCCTTAATTTTTGTTTATTGGTCCATGTTGAGTTTTCCAAAACTAAGCAGAGCCGGCAAATGTAGAGAGGTAATTTGCGTTGGAATATAAAAGAATTATAACTCAACTTCCAGAGAGAGATTTTAAAATAACAGCCTATTCCAAATTTGTTAAATTTTATTGATAATGGGAGAAGGGTATTTAACTTTACTCTGCTAGAGTATGTTTTTGATTCTGTTCCCAAACTTGCTTTCCTACTATCCTCCTGGCTTGTCTCAGATTTTTTCGTCTCTGTCTGCTTTTCTCAGTAGCTTAGGGTTTTCCCAGGTGCTGCCAGATCAGTGTCAGTTTCAGGGTCGTCAGGAGAAGAGCTTATCTTACATTAGTACCTACACTTATAGTTAAGTGTTCTGTTCCTTTTCTTCCCTACAAATAGTTTAACGTTCTTTCTATATCTGGATATTGATGAGTGTAAATGAAGATCATATACCTCAGAAGTGTCTGGATAGATTTCTTGCATTTCAGATTTTCCTTCTGGTAGCATTTTTTCCTAGTCCTAAAAAGGAAGTTCCTTTAGTGAGGGTCTATTCACTATTTCAATATTTATCATTATTTCATCTTGGTTCTCAAAAGCTAATCTCACTTGATGTAGAGGTCTAAAGCAAGACGTCTCAATGTAGTCCTCTGTGTCAGTTTGGCATATTCTACTTGGTCTTCCATTGTTCGGAGTCAGCTATTGATTCTATTTTCATTCCTTTGTGCTAGTAGCATGTATTTTTTCCTCTTGCTATTTTTAAGAGCCCTTGTTTTTAGGGATTACCCTTTTTCTGTGATGTTTCTAGTTATTAATTTTTTTAAAACACTGCTTAGGGTTGGCTTTTTAAATCTAATGTTAGTGTCCTCATGAATTTGTGACATCTTGGATTATTCCTTATAATATTTTTAAGACTATTTATCTGTTATCCTGCTTGAATTTTCCCTCATTCTCTCTGTTCTCTTCCTCTGGAACTCATGTTTGTTAGACCTTCTCACTCTATTGTCATTTTTTTAACCTCTCATATTTTACTGTAACCTCTCATATTTTACTTTAACCTCACTTCTGTCTTAGGTACAGTTTCTTTAGACCCACTTACATTTCCCGAATTACACTTCGTCCTTGTGTAGTCTGCTGTTTATTAAATTTATAATATCAATTCGAGTTTTCATTTCTAGAAATTCCATTTGGATCATTATAAGATGTTTCTTCAGTTCTATTAGAAGTTCCACTTGTGTCATTTTAAGACAATGTTTGGTCAATTCTAATAGTCTCTTGTTGCTTAGTCATACTCTTATTACCTCTTTTATTAAAAATAAATATTTTATATTTTGTATTTGATCATTCCAAAAACTCAGGTCTTACTTTGTAGATTATACATGTGTCTCTGGACCTTTCCTGATGGTGGCTTGTTTTCATCTGTGTTTAAATCATGTGCCAAAGTTACCTGGAGCTTTATCTGTGAAAGTTCTTTAAAGCTTGGCTTTAATGTGTGTTCCTCTATTTTTACCAGGTGTTTGAGGTCGCTAACAATCTGAGATCCCATGATCCCATGAAATTAAATTTTCAGCTTTTTTTTTTTTTTTTTGTTCTATGGATAATGTGAATTCTAGTAGACCCAAGTTTGCAAATTGGTAGATTTATGATCAGACATTCTCAAGGAGAGATTTCTCTTTAATTTTTCCTTTTTTTTTTTTTTTTTTTTTTGTCCAGAGTCCAGGGCAAGACAGGCACATATTACTACTGTTTCTTTTTGTGAAGCTGCTTTTTCCCCCTTAACCAAATAGAAAATACTCCTTTTTAGGGACTTGACTTCATAGAAAGATGATCTCAGCTTGGAAATACGATCTTAGATATGGAGATCTCAGATTGATTTTACTTTGTACCAGGTCCTAAGTTTTGTTTTCCGCTATTATACCCTACTGGCCTTTGGGAATGGTCTGGGATCAAGGATCTTTCTTTACTTGGGTTTACAATTTTCCTACGTTCTGGTCCCCAAGAATATCCTGTCAGCTTAGTCATTTATCTACAATATTGTTTAGATAAAATTTGTTGCAGTATTTTTAGGTAATATGTATGAAGGGGTCTCTGTAGATGTGGTTGCAAAATACAAGTTGTTTTATTTTCTTAAATGTGCAGAAGTGAAAAGTTGAAAAAGAATTAGGAGCCACCATCAGAATGGGTCTTTAATAATTATGTTGAGTAATACTACTCTTGAGATGACTAATCAAGTATGTTGTGCCTGAAGAAAATAGATGGTCCCAGAGTTGGATAAAGATCTAGCTAGGGCCTCTCCTGGTGGCTGGTGGTGCAGCGGTTGAGCGCTGGGCTCTGAAGCTGCCCACAGCCTCTGCAGCGCCAGTTTGATCCCCGGACGCTGGCGAGGGTCCCACATGGTGCGCAGACCTCTCCTGCCGCGCCCGCTGCTCCCCTCAGCAGTGTATTTTGTCGGTCTGCCTGTTCTGTTCCCCGCTCTGGCTCTGGTGAATTCTCTCACCCTCCTGTGCTTCTGACTATACCCAGTGCTTGTATAAATAAATAAATCTTTAAAAAAAGATCTAGCTAATGTCTACAAATTGGAAGATTATCAGGATAATAGTTATCAGATTAATATCAGTGCTGTTAGAAATTTGCACTTCTCCAGCATTTATCATTCCCATTCCACAAGCAACTATAACCTCAGTGTGTCACATTACTAGCTGTAAACTAGCTTAAACATCCTTAATACTTCATTTTTTAAAATTTTAAATTTGTTACATTGTTCATTTTTGGCACAGTAATTGGTTTTTCTTTTCAGGTGTAGTCCCTTTAGTTCTCCCACCATTACATTACCCATGAGCCATCACCCTAGTCCCTTGTATTCTTTCCGCCCCTGTTTTGACCCCTCTCCCTTACTAAATGCCTCAGATCTATGGTCAGTTTGCAAGTTTTGTCTTTCTCTAACCTTTTGTTTTGTTTCTCCATATATATTCCACAAATAAGTGAAATCATCTGATATTTATCTTTTTCCTTCTAATTTGTTTTACTTAGGATAATCCCTTTCAGCTCCATCCATGTTGCTGTGAATGGCATGAGTTTATCTTTTTTGATTACTGAGTAGTATTCCATTGTGTATATATACCAAAGCTTTTTGATCAATTCATCTGTTTTGGGGCTCTTAGGTTGTTTCCATATCTTAGCTATTGTAAACAGTGATGCAATAAAAATAGTAGTGTAGGTTTCCTTTTGAATTAGTGTTTTTGTGTTCTTTGGGTTGATACCTAGGATTGGAATTACTGGGTTATATGGCAGATCTATTTCTACACTTTTGAGGATATTTCACACTGCTTTTCATTGGGGCTGGACCAGTTTACATTCCCACTAATGGTATAAAGGGTTCTTTTTCTCTACATCTTTGGCAACACTTGTTGTTTCTGGTCCTTTTTTAATATGGGCATAGCCTTTATTATTTTTTTTTAAAGATTATTTATTTATTTATACAAGCACTGGGTACAGTCAGAGGTGCGGGAGGGTGAGAGAATTCACCAGAGCGGAGAGTAGAACAGAGAGAGTGAGGAAGTACACTGCTGAGGGGAGCAGTGGGCGGCAGGAGAGGTCTGTGCGTCATGTGGGACCCTCGCCCAGTGGCCAGGGAGCAGCCGGGGATCGAACCGGTGCTGCAGAGGCTGTGGGCAGTTTCGCAACCCAGCACTCAACTGCTGCGCCACCGGGGAGGCCATTAGCCTTTATTTTTGTTTCATTTCCTTACTGACTCAGTGGTTGTTCAGAGACATGTTATTTAGTTTTCCCTTTTACTTCCTTTAAGGCCATGTGAAAGGGAAATTCAAAAGCATTTTTTTAACTTAAAAAGTAGTATATTGTGGGGAGAAGGCAAATGATAGTGAAATTAATGAAGCACTAAGTACAAATTCCTCTTATATTAGTTTGCTGAATTCTTCCAGATATTTTTTGGGGCATGTACAATTTGTTTTTATAAAGGAAAGGAAAAAAATTGTCATTCTATAGTTTGCTTTATTTCATTTAGTATTTATTTTTAAGATTTATTTATTTATGCATACAAGAGCTGGGGTACAGGCCAGAGGTGTGGGGGGTGAGAGGATTCATCAGAGACAGAGTGGGGAGCAGAAAGGCAGATTGACCGAAGTACACTGCTGAGGGGAGCAGTGGGTGAGTCAGGAGATTTTTGCTGTGTCATGTGGGTAGCTCCCTGGCTGGGGATCGAACTTATGTCGCAGAGGCTGTGGACAGCTTCTTAGGTTGCATCTTAACTGGTTGTGCCATCAGGCCGTATTTCATTTAGTATTTAAAAAGGCATTCTTTTATAGCTCTGCCTCATTCCTTTTGATGGTTGTATTATGATATACAATAATTCAGCCAATTCCCTTTTGATGAACTCCCCCCCCCTTTTTTTTTAAGCTTTACAGCTGATTTCAAATACTGCTGATCCTTACTGACAGAGTGGAGGTTATGCAGTTTATTTTCCGTCTACCTAAGCCTTTCCCCTCTTACTCTTTTTAAAGGATATTATTGAGGTTCTTTAAAAAATTCTCCTATTTACCTTTTAGGGCACTGGCATGTAGATTTCTTAAGTGGAAAGAATTGACATCTAAACTTGGTGTACGTTCTTCAGTTTGTTACCTATTTTTCTAAAAATATTTACAGTTTTTTGTTTGCTTTTTACATTATCCGGGAGGAGAGTGGTGTGTGGTGTGGTGTTAGAGGTAGCATCCACATGGAGAGATGAATGTGTTTGAGAAAGTGGAAATGGAGAGTATAATAGCTCTTTGTGACACATGACTATGAGGAGGTGGGAGAGGAGAGTAGTTCTTAGCATTTTGTTTTTCATTGATTATCCTCTGAAATAAGTTAAAGTTGGATCTCTATGATTAATGTAAGTTATTTTTTTCTTAATCTTCCTAGCCTCCACCTGGCAATGTGAAAATGCCTAATGTACCCAATACACAACCAGCAATAATGAAACCAACAGAGGAACATCCAGCTTATACACAGATTGCAAAGGTTAGTCCATGTCACATGTGTAAATTCATGTTGGAAATTAGAATATCAATAACATTTGCGTTGAGAGCAAAATAATTTTTATACAGTTGCATTCCTGTTGTTTAATTTTTAACTTATTTTTGAGTCTTGTCAGGTAGCTTGTCAACCCTGTATGTACTCATCTAATTTTTTAGCTTACATCATTTTTTACTCCATTATTAGGCATTTCAGAATTCATATATCATCTTGGTATACCATTTGGGTAGTGAAATAGTTATTGTTTTTGGTCTCACTTTTTAATTAACAATACTACAATAATAACCGAATCATACATATTTTATTGGGAGAGCACTATGGCTAAGAAGAGTGGAAAGAAATAGAAATTGGTAAAAAATATGAAATAATTTTAAAAGAGATGAATAGAATGCCTGGAATTACATAAAAAAGTTACAAATCAAAATTTCTTAGTCATCTCATTTTTTTTCAGCTCATATTTTATAAAATATGAGATATTAATTTTACATTGGGAATCTTATTATCATTTAGCCCAATTCATAAGAACCAACTCAGTTGCCCTTTCCTTTATTTGTCATTTTCCTCATCTGTTCTCTGTTCTCCATTTCCATTAGTCAGTCTAGTAGCCACCTTAGTTTCATAAGCTCAATTACCTTAGGACTCTGACTACTCTTACTGACTACTTTCACTACCATGGAGGGCTTTTGTAACCAAAGGACCAAAATGGGACAGATCTCTCCATAATATTTTTTGAAACTGTAATCTTGAGTGAATTCCTCTGTTTTGCAAGAGAATTTGAATTTGGTTCCTAGCATAATAGAGAAGTAGGAGATAGTATACCAGTGTTACAGTATTTTATACTTCTAACAGTCTCTTGCTTTTCTTTTAGGAACATGCCTTGGCACAAGCTGAACTTCTTAAGCGCCAGGAAGAACTAGAAAGAAAAGCAGCAGAGTTAGATCGTCGAGAACGAGAAATGCAAAACCTCAGTCAGCATGGTAGTATCCAGTGAATTTAGAATTAAAAATAGCTTTTAAACACTTTAAATTAAACCTTCCCTATGTCTAGGTTGTTTGATTTGCAGATAAAACCTTGCCTGTTTTTCTTTCCTAGCGTGAAGATCAGATGCAGCAGATTTTTTTATTTAATACTCTGTAGATCTCTGATCTTGACTGATTTACAGTATGGTCTTATGCTATATTAGGGAGTGTTAGCTCATCACAAAGAAAGTGAATTGTGAATATGATAATTTTGGTTTATGCTAAGGCCAGAAGCCTTTGGTTCTTATTTGGGCCCTCTTTAGGTTTATTGAAGCTTTATGAATTCCTTATATTTGACTTTTTTTTTTAAACTAAGGGGACATTGGTTTACAACATTGTGTATGATTTAGAGGGAGTGGATCACACTCTTCAGGTATATGTCACCACAGCACACCACACTCACCACCAAGGCACTGAATGTTCTCCACCATAGTCCAGTGTGCCCTTCTCCATTTTGCTCCCCCTCCCCCCAACTCCCTTCCTGCTTAATTCTACAATCATAGTTCTAGGGTTTACTGTTGGTTTTGTTTTATCTGTCCCTTTAACTTCTCCAACTGCATTTAACTCTTAACTTCTGGTTTATTCAGACCAGTTTCAAATTACCTGCCTTTGTCCTCATAAAAACATATCTGTCAAATCATGTTACAAAAATATGTCTGTGGTGACTCTAGGAAACTAGGGGTATTTTGACGTTGCCAAAGAAATAAGTACTGAATTTATTATTTGCTCTGAAGTCTATTTAGACTTTGACTACCAAAAGTATGGCTTTGTCATCCTTTGGCAGTTTGATATTTGAAGGAAGTATCTTAGAGAAAGCTATTAGTCTCTGGGTGAGTTCAGATAAAAGAGCTAGACAATTCGTTGTTAAGTCTGGGGTAACTGTGGAATGACAAGGAAAGGACAATATTACCAGACTTTTTCTTCTCACAAAATGGATGAGTCTAAGACCTTGTGGGAACATGTTTATCGTGGCCTATTTTCTTGCTTGCAGCATCAATCAAAGAAGAAACTAATGGTTTAATTGAAATTAATGTTTCTGAAATACCTGTAACTATTTCTTTAGCATTGACTAATATATTTCCATGAGAGATGTTTTTGTAAAATAATAATGTAGAGTGTGAAATTTAAGAGTTAGACTTGTAGTATCTTACACAATTAAGTACTTTTTGTAAACTCATTTAATTCTTACTACAAGTCTGTGAAGGGTAGAATAGTTGTTCTCAATTTATGTAGAAAGTCTTAAGGAGGTTCAGTTGTCCACACCTTTTAGTCAGTAAGGGATTAGGGACTTGTGGTTTTAGAGATTTTTTTTTCTAATTTTATTTATTTATTTATTTATTTATTTATTTATGCATGCATGCAAGCACTGGGTACAGACAGAGCGCGGGAGGGTGAGAGAATTCACCAGAGGAGGTTCAGTTGTCCACACCTTTTAGTCAGTAAGGGATTAGGGACTTGTGGTTTTAGAGATTTTTTTTTCTAATTTTATTTATTTATTTATTTATTTATTTATTTATTTATTTATTTATTTATTCAAGCACTGGGTACAGACAGAGCGCGGGAGGGTGAGAGAATTCACCAGAGCCAGAGGGGAGAGAAGAGCAGGCAGACTGAGAAACACACTGCTAAAGGGAGCAGCCGGCGGCAGGAGAGCTCTGCACGCCATGTGGGACCCTCCTCTGGTGGCCAGGGAGCAGCCGGGGATCGAACCGGTGCAGCAGAGGCTGTGGGCAGCTTTGCAGCCCAGCGCTCAACCACTGCGCCACCAGGGAGGCCCTAGAGATTTTTTTATTCTATTCTGTTGCCTCTCAAATAGTATGATACTTGCATGAGAAATGTATGAAGAATATGAAATTTGGAAAGACTGATAAACAGTGGAGACACATTGAAGAGCATAAGAAATAAGTTACATTTTTTTTCCTCTGAAAATTTTTGTGGTCTATGAAAAGTATGTAAGACCTAATTTTTAGAAGTTGAGTGATGCATTATCTAAAATGAGAAAATGGGTTTTTTTTGATGCTATTTTACCTTTTATTATTATTATTTTTTAAAGATTTATTTATTTATACAAGCACTGGGTACAATCAGAAGTGCGGGAGGGTGAGAGAATTCACCAGAGCCAGAGCGGGGAGCAGAACAGGCAGACTGATGAAATACACTGCTGAGGGGAGCAGCAGGCACAGCAGGAAAGGTCTGCGTGCCATGTGGGACCCTTGCCGACAGCCGGGGATCGAACTGATGCTGCAGAGGCTGACGGGCAACTTTGCAGCCCAGCGCTCAATTGCTGTGCCACCTGGGAGGCACCTACCTTTTATTTTTAATGTTTGACTACTTTAATTTTAGTTTTTTATTTCCCTCACCATTTCCCAAATCCTTTTTTCAATGTAATATCTTCTCATAGACATATTTTTGCTCCTCATAGTTTGGGTTTGTTCTCCACTAGGTCTTTGATGATATTATAGGTTCTCAGCTTCTTAATCTCATGATTCTTACAGTTTTATGATTTTCTTAGATATGTGTCTTTTGGGTATTATTTTTTCCAGACCCTGAGGGACTTCCAAATTTGATTTTTTGGTTTTGGTCAAGTCCATGCTTCTTAATGGAGTTAACAGTGGAAAACTGAAAAGATTCAGAAGTTGGTCTTTCCGTTCCATAAGGATTAGGGATTAAATTTATTTATTTTTTATTTTCAATTTTTTATTGACTTTTTAAAATTACTTTTTATCTTAACATCATTTTTCACATTTTTTTAGACAATATTTGCTTCACCCCACCCCCTCAGCTTGAGTCCTCATAGAATTTCCTTCCCCAAGGCACCCATGCACCATCACTACAGTCCCCTGTGCTCCTCCCTCCCTCCCTCTCACCATACTCCCTCCTCCTCCCCTGTAGTATGTCTCTGGTTTATAATTGTCTGTTTTTGCTTTGTTGCGTTTTGTACTGTTACTATGTATTTTTTACACTGATGTCTTATATGGTTCCCCTATATTCCTGTTACAAGTGAAACCATCGGATATTTTTCTTTTTCCTTCTGTCTTATTTTACTGAGCCTAATTCCTTCTAGCTCCATCCATGTTGCTGCGAATGGCATGAGTTTATCTTTTTTGATTGCTGAATAATATTCCATTGTGTATATATACCACATCTTCTAGATCCAGTCATCTATTTTTGGGTATTTGGGTTGTTTCCAGGTTTTACCTATTGTAAATAGTGCTGCAATAAACATAGGTGTATGCAACAACAAATGTTGGCGAGGATGTGGTGAAAAAGGAATCCTCCTACATTGCTGGTGGGAATGCAAACTGGTCCAACCACTGTGGAAAGCTGTCTGGAGGTTCCTCAGTGTACTAAAAATGGAGCTACCATATGATCTGGCAATTCCACTACTAGGGATCTACCCATAGGGATTAAATTTAAAGATTTAAGATGTTGAGGAGGAAATTGTACAGATTTAAAAACTATATCATCTTTGGGCTTTCCCTGGTGGCGCAGCAGTTGAGCGCTGGGCTGCGAAGCTACCTGCAGCCTCTGCAGCACTCGTTCAATCCCCGGCCACCAGCAAGGGTCCCACATGGTGCGCAGACCTCTCCCGCCGCCCGCTGGTCCCCTCAGCAGTGTATTTCGTCAGTCTTCCTGTTCTGCTCCCCGCTCTGGCTCTGGTGAATTCTCTCACCCTCCTGCGCTTCTGACTGTACCCAGTGCTTCTATAAATGAATAAATAAATTAAAAAAAAAAAAAAGGCCAAGGAAAAAAAAAAACTATATCACCTTCACATGAGAGACAGATTCTTGTGACTTTGAAATCAGTATGTTTTCAGGACAGTCACAGGATAGGATATTGTTTCTTGGGATTTTTTTTCCTTTCTATTGTACATAAACAGTTCCTGCCTAAACATACTAACACACATACATACATATACATGCATATATATGACACTGGAAAATTATTTTACCATCTAACATCTAGAGTGATAGTCTGGGATAATTTTTTAAAAATGAAACTTGACTTTCAGGTAGGAATATAGAAAGAAATATAATATTATATTTGTAAAACATTAAAAATATACAGTCTCTTAGGGAACCAAAAAGATGAATAGCACATATTTGCCCTAATATAAATAACTTTTTTTTTTTGCAGGCAGAAAAAATAATTGGCCACCTCTTCCTGACAATTTTCCTGTTGGACCTTGTTTCTATCAGGATTTTTCTGTAGACATTCCTGTAGAATTCCAAAAGACAGTGAAAATTATGTACTACTTATGGATGTGTGAGTATAGAAAAAATTGTATATTCAATTTTGTAGTTTGTTGTCAAAATTTGTCCTTTTTTGAACTCATTTATTAAGGATAGCATAGTAAATTGGTCATTTCCTATAGCTTTTTTTAATTTTCAGAGTGAAACATATTTAGGTACTTAAAAATAGCACTATATATTATAACCTGAGGAAAACTTTTGTATTGAAAACTGGCATTCTTTTGAGGAAAGGACTTTGTCACAGAATTAAAATTTTGCAACAATCCTTTTTCCTTGAAAAATGTTATGTAGGCAATATTGGCTTTGAAAAATTATACTTACTATTTTTATGCAAATGAAGACCATAAAAAATTTCTATTAAAGCATTATAACTATTTTTTTAAATGGGCATATAATTTAATATTATAAACTAATTCTCTTATAGCTTTGGGCACAATTTACCATTCATTTATAAGTGATAATGAGTACTTATATTATTTAAAAATATATAATTAATATAGGATATTTTATTGAGTAGTACAGTATGATATACATTTTAGGCTGTGATGCTTACATTGCTTTGAGTATAATTACAACTCAAAATACTAAAATAAAATGTCAAGCTATTAACAGTTTGCTGCATGTACACAGAATTTCTACTTAATCTATTTCATTTTTATTTCAAATGGTAGTCTCAGCCTCATTAATATAGCAGTAGGAAAGGTAGCTGCCACAACTTCTCACCTGCCAATTTGCTGATTTATAGATAATTTGTAATACACATTCTTGATGGAGGAACCTTATGTGATTTTACTGTGTAATTAGGGAAATTTTTTTTCCTCTCTCTAAATATATGTGATGATTTTCTCAAAATTAACAATTAATATTAAAATTAAATATTAATATTAAAATATAATATATTATAAATATATAAATAATATTAACATTAAATATTAATTAACATTAATATTAAAATTAATATTAATGAATATTCTTCACATATATGAAGTTGCTTCATATATATGAGAAGTGATTCCTTAGGGAAAGTACATTTTTAACTCTTTACTTTTAGTTTTTTTTTAGATTTTGACCTAGTATTTTTTGCTCAAATATTAGTGTCAATAGTACTATATATTTTTAATAGTAAAGCTTTTGAATCCGTATAGGTACATGTTAACCAGTTCATATTATTTAATCAATACATTAATTAGATATGTAATTATATCTCTCTAGATTGTTATGATTAACAGGCAAAAATTAGCCTGGCAAATTAGGTATAAGTCCTTTGTGTTAGTGAAAAACATTTTTAATGACTGAGATGGAGTTTGGAAAAAATTTTAGAACTTCTTACTTTTCTTGTAATAGCCCATGCAAGGGAATGTTTGAAACTACAGAGTAGAGATTATTTGCCATTACCACTACCTTCTCCCCCTGCCCCGCAAAAAGGAGAATTTTGTAAGGAATAGTAAGTAGAGATTGAATGGGGCAGATGATTCATTTTGCCTATTGGCTAACTGCTTTACCAATCTCGATTATTTCAAAATCTGTTTTGTCTTAGAGAGCTATATGTAACTTTTTGAAGCTCTTAAGAGAAACGATAGCCAACTGTATTATTTCTAACACTCTTCAATTGGCATTTCTGTTTTAACTGTAGTCTAAGAGGGCTCAAGATTCCAGTTAAGGGCTGATTTAAAGAAGCATTACCTGGAACAAAATAGGGTTTAGTACCAGCTCAGTAAAATCTCTAAATTTCATATGAGTTTTTTATAAGTTATTTTCAAGAAGTTTCAACCTGTTTCAGATTTTGGAGCTAATGAATGCTTTCACTATTTAACAATAATTATGAGATAACATTTATTGAGAATTTACTTTGTGCCAAGAGCAGTGCTGATCACTTTTATATACCATTTTGTTTTTAAATTCTAACCACAATGTGAAGTATGTGCACTATGTTATCTAGTTTTATAGATAGGGAAACTAAAGTTTAGAAAATTTCAGCAACTTGTCCAAGATTACACTGCGAGGTTGGAGTTTGATAGCTTGACTCCACAATCTAGATTTCCATGTTTTAAAACCTAGAAAGTACCAAAATGGAACACAATTTACATCTTAAAACCAAATATGATGAAGATAGGACTTCAAAAGAACCTTCATGGAAGCAATTTATTTTATAATCGAACTGAAGCAGTAAGAAATATCACTGTGAAATGAATTTCAACCTCTTTGAGTGTACTCTTGCATTTTAAAAACAAGAGAAAGAGAAAATAAAAATTTACTTTATTGAAAGACTATTTCATCAGGAAGATAATAACTGTTATAAAGCTGTTTATGTTAGGCATTTAAATGTAATGCAGACCTTATTAAGAATAATATTATGGTGATAGTTGCAAATTTAGGTCCACTAATACCAGATTTGAGTGCTTTAATAAAGCAAATTGAAATTTTATATTCAACTTGCAAATCATGTAAACATAATTGCCTAATTTTTTTTTTTTTGAGGGTTCTTACCTACCCTTAGAATCCTCCATGTGGATTGGAATGGGATTGAATTCAGTATCATGCAATCATGCATTTCACATTACTTTGCCTTTCTATATGTTTTATAATCTCTTAAGTGGACTGATTGTTTTGTAAGTAGGCTTAGACAGTTTATTCCTCATTGGGGTACAAATAAATGACTTGATCATAGTTGTTGGTTAATATAAAAACATAGAAAATGTTTTTAATAGATTATATGAAATTGATATTTTTACCTATATTTGGAAGAATTTTTGCGAACTTTAAAATATACATACCCATATATTGTCTTTAAGTGGATTAGAAGATAAATCTTTAAAAGTTATTTTTTTGAAGATTGAAAATTGAGTTAGGATGTTCTCAACATTCAGTGCATTCAGCTATTGGGTTGTTGCAAAAATCATGATGTATTTTTTCTGTTTTTCAAGCAAAAATGTGACATGGCTTTTCCAACACCCTGGTATTTTAGTCTCCTGAATGTCATTTAATGCTAGAAATTATTTTTTACTCAGTTTTTTGAATTCTCTCTTTAAGCCCATTACAGAATGTCTTATTTTGAGGCAAAGGACTTTGAATAAATTTATTGATAAGCTTTCAAGACAGAAATACTAACTGGAATAAAATAGTAAGAGTCTCTCATGTAATAGAATTCAATGAAATTTTAGAACTGGAAGATCTGCATTTCTATAACTGAAAAATTGAAGCACACAGAAGTAGGTTAACTTAAGTATTACATCACTATGAAGGTGTTTTCACTTTTCCTTCTGAACTCTTTCTTCTAGAATTTGGGTGTCTAGTTATTAGATGAGACCAAATTTATAGGCAACCTAGAATGCGTGTTTTTATCTTCTTTCATAAAATTTTATTTGATTAATGATTTAGAGACTAAAGTTTGTTTTTAAAGTTTTTTTGAAAATTTATATATACTAGGCTTTCCATTTGTTATTCAAGCATAAGTTTGTATATTTTATTGTATTGATACTTTACATTGAACATTATTTTAACTTTCCAAGTATTTAGTTCCTATAATAAATTCAGTTTGCAGATTTTTTTAATCCTTTAAAAAAGTTACTGTTAAAGATAAATTAAATTCTATAGGATCATAGTGTAGTTAGAAGTTTTAGTCTGTCAGAGAAAGCATTTATGAACATACACGAAGAATATGCATGATCTGTTTGTATTAACTCAAAAGAAAGATCTGCCAGGGCAGAAATTCCAATAATGTACTTTTTTTTTTTTTTTAACATAAATTCAGTCCTCTACCAAAACAACAGCTTTTATCCCAAGACATAAAAATGATGAATTCTATGAATTAACAATCCTTATAGATTGATTATATAGAGTCACTGGAAATTGTTATTTTATCAATATTCTTAGTCCAATGAGTCTAATTTTACTGCTTATAAGATTGCACAGGGTACTTATTTAGTTTTCTCTGTGTAGTCTACTCTGGGAGGTATTTGCAACCACAGTTTAAAAATAAGATTTTTGAATGTAGGATCTTTTTCCTCGCAAGTCCTGGTTCTTTTCCTGACAGGCACTACTTTTCTTCTTGGATCTTGGATCAAGCACACATCACATGTTTCCTTCTCACAGAGGAAACCCTCAAGGTAGTACTTCTCTGATTTAGCTGTTTAATTGCCCATGAGGAGAGAGGGTCAAAAATTTCTGCCCAACAGTGCATGCTGTAATAAGATTCTTTCCCTGTGTATATACTGTTTTCAAATCAAATGTGTAATAAACAGCACTGTTTTTGAAACATACTGAATGAAAACATGGGATACAATACATTTGCTCTCAGGAAGTATTTTTTCTATATACAATTTTTGTTGAATGAACTCACCAATTGAATGTAAACATTTGTTTTTCTATTTTGTTTTTTTTTTTTGATTCCACAGTCCACGCTGTAACACTGTTTCTAAATATCTTCGGATGCTTGGCTTGGTTTTGTGTTGATCCTACAAGAGGGGTTGATTTTGGATTGAGTATCCTGTGGTTCTTGCTTTTTACTCCTTGTTCATTTGTCTGTTGGTACAGACCACTTTACGGAGCTTTCAGGTAAAATGTGTGTACTTTAAGATACGCTCTTTAAAACCTGTGAAGTAACAAATTCATATCTTAAGAGAAAACTGACAAATTTTCATTATTTTTTTTCTGTTTTTAACAGCTTCAGAAAGTCCATATGTAACATGCCTTTGTATTCATTAGGTTTGTAAGTCATAAAACCCCATTCTTTTCTCACAGTTGAGAAAAGATAAAACATGAACATGAAGAAAAAATGGGAAAAGTCCTATGTCTTAATATTTGTAAAAGATTATGTCACACGTTATTATACTATAAGGAAAATTTACTCTCCTTTCTCCTTTCAAAAAATATCATAAGTGGTGATTACAGCCTAATTCTTAATGGACGTATGTAAGGTAAATATGTGATATTTAAAGTGAATTACTTTTATCTAGAAACTTGGTAATTATTTTCTGTGTAAAATCAGTTTTGGGTTTTAAAAATTACTTAGACTATAAAAGTATAGTACTTTGCATGGTATATTTTAATCAGTAGTTTAAACATTTCCACTAAGTATATGTTCTATGGGATATTAATTGGTGTTATGGAAAAAGGGTTCATTAGCTTAGGTTGGGAACAGCTGGATAATATAAAAGAGTTAAGCAAGTTTCTTTTCAGGATTTCTTAGACTCTTTACGAGCTTAATGTGCTTTGTGATGTGGCCATGAATCTTTTTTTTTTTTGGTGGAACACCTTGCTAAACTATTTCTTTAAGAAATAAACATTGGAAAATGCTAATTTAGATGATTGTCCTCTATGAGTCCATATATTTAATCATTTTATCAAATCACTTTTATTTAAGTAAACTCATGAATAATGAACATTATCTACTCGAATGAGGGACAGCATTATTAGGCAATTAAAAATGTATTGTGCAGATGATATATTAGGAAATTAGAGGGTCACATTCAGTTTAATTTTCTCCATTTAAATTTAAAATTTCTTTGATTAACTGGACTTTGCATTATCCCTCCTCTACCCCCTGCCCCATCACACACACATCATGGAATTAGAAACCCAGATACGTAACTAGATGGGAAAAAAATACAAGACAATGGGAGAAGATTAAGGAATTTGAGAGAAAATATGCCATTCACTGGAAAATAAATTGGTTAGCAATGAATTGTCGGGAAGAATATAGATGAAAAGAAAGGGAGGGAAAGGGCTTTGTATATATGGGAATATGGGAGGTTGGTTATCAGGAAATGGGGAGGGATCCCTGTACGTGTGGATTGGAAAGAAATAAAAAGGACTTGTTGCATGGTCTAGGAAGAGAGTTCCTGCTAATCCTTTCCTTGTTGTCTAAATTAAACTCATAGTGCTTTTCAGTTTTTATTTTTTTGATATCTGGCCTCCTCAGCCTATTTCTGTAACATTGCCATTATCTAATGATGTTGGTGGGTGAGAATGGGGATGTCTTTGAGACTTGACTTTAAAAGTTATCTAATTAACCAGCCACTAAACCTCAGGATGATTTCAAGTGCACATGGAACCCAGAGTAAGAAGACGGGATTTGTTTAGTTGGTGCAAAAGACAAGGAAAGGATAGGGAGAAAGGAGACAGGTGAGGGAGAACAAGGCAGAGTGAAAGGAAATTAATGTATTTTGAGACATGAACAAAATAAATTTATATGCCAAAAAAGTGACCTGAGACTAGGGTATTTCAGTTTTAACCATTCTGTGTTTAATGTAGCCAAAATAAACTTCTAAAAGCCAGATTTCTGGTACTTATTACTTGAGGTCACTTGGTGCTTTTTATTTCCTTTGCCACTTGACATGAAAATGCTTTGTGGAACAGTTTTACTTCTGACATTATTTATCTTTAGCCCAAGTTCTTAGCTGCATCTTAGCTCTTTTATAGTATATATAAAAAATGCTAATTATCTTGGTTTCACTGTTCAGAGTAGAACTAAGAAATAACTTTTTATAGGGTAAGTTGATTTAAAATGTATTTCAAGTCATTAATATACCTTCTCAGTGTGTTACTCTGGCGTTTCCTTCTTCCAGATTACAAAGTATTTCTGTCTGTTAAATCTTTTCTGAGTATCTAGTAAAGTTTGTTAAATATATAACAATGGCAGAAATCTTCCTTAAAGTATGAAAACCTCAAACTAGATATATTAGGCATGATTATATTAAATGTATGGCTTTAAATAGACTTCTTCAGATGAGTGCTTGGGATCTATACTTGGGATCAGTTTTGAGGGAGATTATGGCCTTTAAGTAAGAATGGAGTCAGGCTATGCGGTGTTTCATGTTCTGTTTCAAGATTAAGAAGTGTAACACAAGCCTCTGAACATACTATGTAATTTCGTAGAAAATGGATAACAGACCTTCTAGTCCACATTCACATATTTCTTTATAAGAAGTTTTTATTGAAAGCAGTTAGTTTTTGTTATTCACACCCTGGAGTTAAACTGAAGTTCTTTTTAAAAATTTTCACCTTTTCTTCTATGGCTAATGATATATTTGCCTCCTCAGCCATAAAGTTATTTAAATACCTGCTGTGAATTTTATTTTCTCCACAAGTGAAGAGTAAGCAGTAAGAAAAACTTGCCATGGGTTTATTTTAGAATAAACAAATCATTGCAAACGTATAAATTAGGAGGGGACATTAAGTGTTACCAGGTTTTTTTTCAAATTGCTCAGTGAATTTTTTTCTTCTTCTTTAGATGGGTGGTAATTCCAAGTTTCTGGACTGTTACTTTGTGGTGGAGTGCTTAAAATAACTAGAGGGCATATCAGGAAGTCTATTTGTCTAGAATAAAAGGGTACATATATAGTTTGTTTCCTTTTGTGCCCTCCTGTTGACTCAGTCTAAAAGTAAATTTAATACCTCAAATTCCTTTTTAAATGTTAACAGTTAACCTTGTCATCAAGAATTTGTTGTAATTTGCTTAATATGATGAATGTATTTTCTAATATTAACTAATTTGAGAAGAATATAATTGTTTTAACTGAATTATAAAGTACCTTTAGATTGAATTAAAATATTTTATAATAGCCTTAAAATTTGTTGAGAAATTTTAATCTACATTTAAGTGATTATATTCAATAATTGCATAATAAATCATATTGATAATTACATGTGATAAAGGCGGACTCTTAGGAATAATTTTTTAATTATTAGAAGTTTATTTTCCAATGTCATCTGAGTATTTCATTTGGACATTTATGATTGAATTCACTTGATTCTTTAAGAAGGTATTGCAAAGCAGTTCTAAAGCATGAAGTACCTTAAGGTTAAATTAATCACTCATTCAATACTGCCAGTATGCTAGATTGGTCAATAAATGGCAGCTAGAATTAATGTTTTGCCTTTTTGTTTCTGTGTGTTTTACTTTTGTTGATACATATTATATGTTATTTTTGGTTGCTTTTAATTCATTGTCTGCTGGTGCCCCAGTCTGAGGAAACCATAAAAAACTATATATGGTTTATATAGAGGTATTGTAAATTTACATAATACTAAGGTGTTTGTTGATCCTTTGTATTGCCAGATAAAAATGAACTTTTAAACAATATGGTTCCATAATCTCATTTTTAAAATAGGTTTTGTCTAGTTATGTTTAGTTAATGATATATTGGGTTGTTGGAAAAGTCAAGATGTATTTTTTCTCTATTTTTCATTTTCATTTATGTATTATATAAAACGTAGTTATATACATTTTTCTTTCTTTGCCTTTTTTTCTTAATTGAGATAGTTTACAACTCTGTAGGTTCCAAGATTGCATTTTCTCACCATACTTGATACCAAATGTTCATTTACAATTCACCACCACTGACAGTGGTCCCTTCTAATCACCCATTTCCCCTTCCTCCTCTGGTAACTACCATTCTGTTGTTAGAGTATTAGAGTTTTGTTTTCCTTATATTGCCCAAATGAGTGAAATCATACAATGTTTTAAATGAATTAAAAAATACTTTTAGAGTGAGTTAAAATCTGAAATCTGACTTATTGCACTTCGCACAATCCTCTTACAATGTCTGTTTTTGAAAATGGTGAGATTTTATCTTCTAGATCAATAGTATTCCATGCATATATCTATCACATCTTCTTAATACACTTATCTGTCATTGGGCATTTAGTTGTTTCCAGTGTGTGTATTGTAAAGAGTGCTGCAGTGAAGATAGGAATGTATATATACTCTTCAAGTTAGTGTTTTAATATTTTTCAGCATAATTTCAAAAAGTATGCCTTTCTTGCATCATTTCTCAGGACTGTACTAAAGTAGAATATGCACTGCCAAAATGAGAGTAAACAAGAAAGACCAAAACATGGGATCCAGAAAACATGAGCTCTGACACCAGAGAGGACAGTCCAGTTTATTCCCAAGATGATATTGAAGAGAGGTCTCAAGATGACAAGTTAGGTAGTTACCCCAGTATTCTGTCAGTTCAGATTTGAACAAGTCAGAAGACTAAGAGAAACAGTTTCAGGAAGACAAAATTGATCCCTAGTGGGGCTTTGGTTGTGGAGAGAATATTTTGTTGTTGTGGTTCAGCCTCAGTCTTAGGTAGGCTGTGTCTGTGCCTTTCCCTGCCACTCCTCCCCACAAGTTTCTGTAATAATTTGAACCAGGACATACTCCTGTTCCTCCTCCAGTTTTAGAGTTTTTTTCTTGCCCTTTCCCCAGCTGCCATGGCTCTTACCCTGTGCTCTGAAGAAGGTGGTGTGTGCTATCTTTCTTTCCTTTCCACTAATGCTTTTGTTTTGAGCGCAACATATTTCTTATAAATGAATGATAATAGTGTTCTCAGACCTAAAAAAAAAAAAAATGACAAATCATACCAAATAGGAATATACTACTTTGAGAAGATAAGTACCATTTACTATCCCCCTCTTTTTTCTCTCCCCGGACATATTTTTATTTATTTTCATTTTTTAAACTGTACTATTTTTTATTGAGGTGCCATTGATATACAGTGCCATGTATGTTTTAAGGGTACAGATTCACACCTCTTCGGATAATATCCCCTTCTTAAGGGAATGCA